TCTGGAGTATTTTGCTGGATTGCCAAAGTTCAGTTTTTGGGACAGTCAAGAACCTCAAAGCTCCACAAGATGCGAATAAATCAGACACTTTCTCAATTTTGCACAGGCATTGTCAAGATTGCGCTGGAAAGCATCATTAAATATTGATAAAATTAATTTTAAGTTTTAAAAATTCTTTGTTTAGCTATTTCATTCAATTATTCTTTAGTTGAATGTAAAGTGTTGGTGGTGATACAGCTTTGTCTCCGTACCTGTATAATAATTTTAATTATTAATATCAATCAGTTAACATTAATAAACTAAACCTAAGCTATGTGATATGCAGACTGCCTAAAGGAGTAACCAAGGCTGGACAGAGTAAATGCTGGGAGGATGTTTCACCTGGCAGGAGACTCAAGAGCTAGACAGCACAGACACAAAATATTTAGGACTGAGATGAGGAGAATGTCTTCACTCAAGAGACTTTTAAACATATAGAGTTGCACTCATTCAGGCAAATGGACAGATTTCCATTGTACTTATTGTAGATGGTGGCCAAGCTTTGGGAAGCCATGAGGTGCATTATTAGGCACAGAATTGCCAGTCTCTCACTTGTTCTTGTACCCAAAGTACTTATGTGGCTGATGCAGTTACAATTCTGGTTAATGGTAGCCACGTGCCTCCCCAGAATGCTGATGGTGTGAGATTCAGTGATGGTTATTTTATTGAATGTCAAAGGGGAGATGTTTGGATTATGTCTTGGAGATGGATATTGGTTGGCACATGCATGGGCAAGTGTTATTTATCCTTTATTAGCTCAAACCTGAATATTGACCAGATCTTCCTGCATGTTCACACAGATGCTTCAATATCTGAGGGGTCATGAATGGTGCTGAACATTGTACAATCATCAACAAATAGCACCCCTTCTCAAATTATGATAGAGGAAAGTCAATGATGAAGCACCTGAATAAAAACCGAAAGAACTGCGGATGCTGTAACTCAGCAACAAAAGCAAAGTTGCTGGAAAAGCTCAGCAGGTCAGGCAGCATCTGTGAAGGAAAAAACAGGGTTAACGTTTCGGGTCCGGTGACCCTTCCTCAGAACTGATGGTGGCTGGGAAAACGTCAGTTTGTATGCAGAAAATAGGGAGGTGGGTGGGGTAGGGAGTAAATGAAAGGAAAGAGCCCAAAGAGAGAGAAAGACAGTTAGACAGACAAAGGAGTTGCTAACAATCAGGCTGGGAGGGTGAATAGTTGTTAATGGGGACTGTTAGTGACTAACAACAGGGGGTGTGTAATGGCAGGCTATGTGGTAACAAGACCTAGTGTGTGGGGTAGGGGGCTGGGACATGGGAGAGTTTAGGCCCTAAAATTATTGTACTCAATAGTGAGTCTGGAGGGCTGCAGGGTCCCCAAGCGGAAAATGAGGTGTTGTCCTCCAGTTTGCATTGGGCTTCGCTGGAACACTGCAGCAAGCACCTGAAGGTGGTTGGACCTAGGACACAGCCCTGAGGGACTCCTGCAGAGATGTCCCAGTTGTTCTGTGTCAACAACTACAAACATCTTCCTCTGTGTTAGGTATGGCTCCAACCAGTGGAGGGTTTTCCCTTTGACTCCAGGTTTGCTAGGGTTCCTTGAATCATAGAATCCCTACAGTGCGGAAGGAGGCCATTCAGCCCATTAAGTCTGCACCGACCCTCCGAACAGCATCCCACCTTGACCTCTTTCCTGTCCTTGTAGCCCTGCATTTCTCATGGATAATCCATGTAGCCTGCACATCTTTGGACTGTGGGAGGAAACCAGAGCACCCAGCGGTTGCCCACGCAGACACAGGGAGAACCTGCAAACTCCACACAAACAGTCACCCGAGGCTGGAATCGAACCCAGGTGCCTGGCGCTGTGAGGCAGCAGTGCTAACCACTGAGCCATCACGCTGCTCTTAATGCCACACATGGTCAGATTCTGTCTTAATATCAAGGGTGATCACTCACAGCTCACCTCTGAATTCAGCACTTTTATCCATCTTTGGATCAATGCGATAATAAGGTCAGGAACTGAGTGGTCCTGGTGGAACCCAAACTGACCATTCGTCAGTTGTCATTGGTGAATATGTGTTGCTTAACAGAACTATCCAGCACTATTTGTGACTGGATGTAGCAAACTTCAGTGATTAGGTCTGATCCATTGGTTGTTGGCTTTATTGCTTCAGCTTCTGCTGTTTGTCATACAGCTATTCCTGTGTTGTAGCTTCACCAGATTGATAACTCATTTTTAATTATGCACGGCGCTGTTCCTGGCATACCCTCCCACAATCTTCATTGATCCAGGGTTGATCTCCCTGCTTGATGGTAATGGCAATGAAGGATGTGCCAGGCTATGGGTTACAGATTGTGGTCGAATACAAAACTACTGCTGCAGATGGCCCACAGCATCTCACATTTGCCCAGTTTTAAGCTTTTAGATATATTCTGAATCTTTCCAGTTTAGCATGCTGATAGTGCCATACAAGTGGATGGTAAATCAATGCAAAACAGGATGTTGTCTCATCAAGACTATGTGGTGCTAAATCCTACCAATACTGTCAAGGAAAGATACGGTCATAGAACACAGAAGCAGACCCTTTGGTCCAACTCGGCCGTGCTGACTAGACATCCCAATCTAACTTAGTCCGATTTGCCAGCAATTGGCCCATATTGTTTTAAACCCTTCCTATTCATATACCCATCCAGATGATTTTAATTGCCTCCATCGCTTCCTCTGGTAGCTCACCATACATGCACCACTCTCTACGTGAAAAAGTTACCCCTCAGGTCCTTTTTAAACCTTTCCCCTCTCACCTTAAACCTATGTCCTCTATTTTTGGACTCCCCCACCCCAGAAAAAAGACCTTGGCTATTCACTCTATCCATGCCCCTCATGATTTTATTAACCTCGATAAGGTCACCCCTCAGTTTCCAAAGCTCCAGGGAAAAATGCCCCAGCCTATTCAGCCTCTCCAGCCTCTCCCTATAGCTCAAACCCTCCAGTCCCTGAAACATCATTGTAAATCTTTACTGCACCCTCTCAAGTTTAACAATATCCTTCATATGGAAGGGTGACCAGAATTGTAAGCGGTATTCCAAAAGTGGCCTCACCAATATCCTGTACAGTTGCAACATGACATCCCAACTCCTATTCTCAATGTTATGGCCAATGAAGGCAAGCAAACCAAACACCTTCTTCACTGTCCCATCTAGCCACGACTCCACTTTCAAGGAACTATGTACCTGCACCCCTAGGTCTCTTTGTTTGGCAACATTCTCCAGGGCCCTACTATTAACTGTGTAAGTCCAAGGAGAGAGAGCTCACCTCCACCTTCTCAAGTGCAACTAGGGATGGACAATAAATGCTAACACAGCCACTAATGCTTACCTCCTATGAATGAATAAAATAAAATCTCCAACTTGAGTATATCTCGAATAGATTGTTAGCAATACACTCAGTTACAGAGACTCTTTTAGAAATACACTCAGATACAGAGACTGAGTGTGGTCTAGTCAATGTTTGATACAGGTTTAGCATAAACTCCTGACTTTTCAATGCTATCCCTCTGGAAATGAAGCCTACTAGTTTATAGCCTTTTTATGGCTGTATGCTAATCTATGGTACCACTTGTAGTGATGAATGTATTTGTACTCCAAGATCCCTTTGCTCCTCTATGCCACACAGACTCAGACCTTCTAATTAATTAGCAAGCTCCTAATTTCCCATATATGTGTGTTACCTCAGATTTATCTCAACTTCATTTGCTAATTCTGTAAGTTTATTAAGTTCTCAAGTAACTTTAGCATCCCTTGTCAGAATTAACTATTTCCCTTAATTTGGCCCACCCATAAATTTACAAACTGTATTTTTGATTCCAGAGTCCAATCACCAATTACCACTCCATTTGCCCCTCTCAATGAACAGCAAAGTGATGGAGGGTGTTGTTGATATCCTAACAAGTGACACTTAGTCAGCACTAACCTGCTTAATGACACTCAGCATTTGACCAAGTGTGGCATCAAGGAACCCCAGCAAAACTGGACTCAATGGAAATCAGGAGGGAGACTTTATGTTGGTTGGAGTTATACCTGGTGCAAAGAAAGGTGGTCCTAGTTGTTGGAGGTCGACAGTCTGAGCCCCAGGGCCTCACTGTAGGAGTTCCTCAGGGTAGTGTTTTAGGACCAAATATCTTCAGCTGCTGCATCATTGAGTTTTCTTCCATCATAAGGCTAAAAGTGGAGATGTTTGTTGATAATTGCAAAATGTTCATTAAGATTTACAAAACTCCTCAGATATTGAAGTAGCCCACATGCAGCAAGGCTTGGACAACATTCAGACTTGGGCTGATAAGTGGCAAATAACATTTGTGCCACACAAGTGCCAGACAATGACTACCTCCAACTGAATTGAATTTAAGCATCCTCTTTTTGACTTTCAATTGCATTATTATCTCTGAATCTCCTACCATCAATATCCTGGGGGATTACTATTGACCAGAAACTGAACTGGATCAGTTCAGTTACTATAAATAACATAAACATGATGGCTACAAGCACAGGTTAGGTGTTTAGAATTCTGAGGTGAATAACTCACCTCGTGACTCCCCAAAACCTGTCCACCATCTACAAGGCAAAAACCAAGAGTGTGATAGAATACATTCTAGTTGCTAAATTAGTTCAGCTCCAACAACACTCAAGAATCTCAACACTGCCCAAGATTAAAAAGCTGGCTTGATTCACACCCTTTTTGCCACTTTCAAGATTTGCACCCTCTAGTACCGATGCTCAATGTCTGCAGTGTTTATTAGCTGGGCACATGTGTACCTAAGTGTAGTTGCAATGTATGAATCAGTACGCAGGCTACGTGTTATTAATTTTCATCTTATTTTTGGATGATCTTCCTTCATCATTCTCTGGATGTTGATTCAGCATTCTCCAATAATTTGTTATGGTTTAGTTTTCACCTTTTACCAATGATGGTTTTTTTGGGTTTCAGCCTCAAGGAACTGGAATCTGCCGCTTTCAAAATGCGTTTATCTGCTGAAGCCAGGTTTCAAGTTACGGAGAATGGATTCAGGCCCAGCGGGCTGTCAAAGCAGAGTAACCAGGATAAGACATTGTTTGTTGTGGGAACGATTTGTATCGTGATTTGGGTAAATAAAGATTTAGGGTCTAAGTGCCTTCATTTGCTACCACATGCCCTGGACAATTTCAATAGTTTAATGTCATAGTATTTGAGCAGTTGCCAGCAATTGCTAGCAGACAGAGAACGGGTCTCACAAAATAATGTGTGGATCTAAGAGATCAGTACAGCTTGGAAGTGTGATTATGTGTATTTAAGTGTGAATGGATGAGCATGTTTAAGTGTGATTATATGTGTGTATGAACAGATTATGTGTGTGTGTTAGTTTGACTTCATATGTGCATCTGTGTTATAGGAATTGTGCCTTTTGGAGTGTACATGGGTACTAATATGCTGTAGGTGTCAATGTGTGTTTTATTGCAAGTATAAATATCCTTGTTTCTGTGGATGTTTTTAAGTCAAGATGAGTGTGTCTTAGTGTATCCATGTTTTAATATTTGAGTGAAAGTGTCTTTGTGTACAGTGTAGACTCTCTTCCTCCCACAAGCTAAATATTAATTACTTACAAATATGCCTCCTGAAGTGGGGAAAAATTTTGTGTTAGAAGGTCAGAAAATCAGGACACATGGTTGAACTAAGGAACAAAAAAGGGACTAACACAGCTGGGAGCTAGAAGAGCAAATGTGTAGGCAAGTTGATAGGAAGTGCCTAAACATTAGGGCAGTAATCATGGGGAATTCAATTACCTCTGTAATAATTGAGATAAATACAGTGTGAAAGGTAAAGAAGGCGTCAAATTCTTAAAATGGTTTCAGGAGAACATTTTCTTGCCATGGGTCTTTTTCAAACCAGTAAGAGAAAGGACAGTTCTTGACTTAGATTTAGGCAATGAATGTGGGCAGATGAAAGAGATATTAGTGGGACAATATTGGTGTTAGTAATCATAATCCAGATTTGAAAGATTTATGGTAAAGCACAAAGACAGAGCAGAATTAAAGACTTTAAACTGGGGAAAAGATAACTTTACTAAACTGAAGGTTGATTTGGCAAAAGTGGATTGGATGATGTAGAGATTGTAATGAGGCCAGCCAGGTAGACCTCATAGAATATGAGTTCCCTGATTGGGGCTGTTAATCTGGTCCAATCAGGGAGCCCTGGCTGACAGATAAGAACAAGGGTGTCAGAGGTACTGTTCACTCTGAGTGCTGGGTCTGAGGGATCTGGATCGGTGTCAAGGACTTTTCATATGTAAGTAAAGGGTGACTTGGTGATGGGATACCCGTCTCTGTGGAGTTATTTGAGATACTTTTACATGAAGGTAAATGAGTTTCAGACATGTCGACAGAAGTAGAGAATGAATATGTTCCCAGGAAGATAAAACAGAGTGGGACTCTCAAATCTGGACTTCTCCTTAATGCAGACAGAGTAGGATAGGTAACTCAGGACTGCAGAAAGCCGAGAGAAGGGAAGAAAGTACAAGGGTGAAATTAAAAAGGAAACTAAAAAAGAAAAGAGACAGCATGAGAATGTATTGTCAAGCAATAAATTGGGCAAATGTTTTATAAATACATCAAAGTATGAGGATAGCCAAAAAAAGGGTATGACTGATTAAAGACAGAGGGGGCACATAATGTGAGCATGAAGTAAATGTTTTGCATCTGTCTTCACAAAAGAGAGGACATTATAGACATTATAAATAAGGAGGATGAGCATGAAATATTAAATGGGATAAACATAGTGAGAGAGGAAATATTATGGTGTTTGACATCTTTGAAATGTGGATAAATCACCACACCTGGATCAAAGTCCCAGGTTGTTAAGAGAAGCAAAACAAGAAATAGCAGTGCCTCTGACCACTTTTCTTTCCAATTCTGAGTGGTTACAGACATGGTGGCAGAAGACTGTGAAGGTTTTACCATTGTTTATAAAGGGTGGAAGGAATAGCCCAAGAAATTACAGGTCAGTCATCTGAATCTCAGTGGTGGGTGAAATAACTCCACAGAGGCTGGTATCCGTCATCAAGTCACCCTTTATTTCCATGTGGAGAGTCCTTGAAACTGATCCAGCTCCCTCAGAACCAGCCCTCAGAGTGAACAGGATGTCTGACCCTCCTGTTCTTATCTGTCAGCCAGTGCTCCCTGATTGGATCAGATTAACAGCCTCAATCAGGGAGCTCATATTCTATGAGATCCATCTAGCTGACCTTGTTACAATCACTACAGTGGGCAAACAACTGGAAAATTTCTGATGATAAGTGTAAATCGTCATTTAGAGAGGTACAGATTAATCAAGAAGAGTCAGAATGGATTTGTAAAAGAAAGATCATAATTGAATAACTTGATGGAATTTTTTGAGGACCTAAGAAGATGATGGAGGTGTATAGCCCATTTGAGGTCATTAAGTGATTATGCCCCACAGAGTAGATTGGCCAAAATAGTAAGAGCCCACAGAATCCAAAAGCATATGAGAAGTTGAATCCAAAATTGACACAGTGGCTGAAAACAAAGGCTATTGGTTGATGGATGTTTTTGTGACTGTTAGGCTGTTTCTGGCAAACTTTGAGACAGTTCTTCCCCTAAACATGCAACTATATGGCAATGCAACAATCCAAATGGTTCCACACAAGGCAGCCCTTCTAAGTTACCATGCATATGCAGCTGCACAAAAAAATGTTCAAAGGCGCCACATACTTATGCAAGCTGCTAAATATATATTAGAAGCCATATTGGTCTTGGCTCTTGCTTTACATGATAACGATCAGTGATTTAAACCTAAATTTTGACTGAGAGTAACAGAAATTCCTTTGCTTGTTCATCTTGGTCAGGTCATGGCCATGCTTAACATAAAACAGTACAGCCCTTCCTTTATATATCCAAGAAAATTCATGCTAAGTTGACTAGAAATACCTTCCCCTTTTCATTGGTGTTTATAAGTCATTCACTTTTTAAGTTTAGAATAATATGTCCTTTAAAGAAAGTAAAAAGGCTCATCAAATGGAAGATTAAAAATTGTGCACATAATGCAACAATTTGCCATGGAGTTGATAACGAGGAAGAAAGCTTTATAATGCAGAAACAGAAAGTTAATAGTGGACTGATCATATTCATAGGCAGAGAATTATATAGCAATCAGATGGGTAGAAAAGAGGCAAATGGAATTCAATTGAGAAAAACTGAGGTTATTCATTTGGAAGGATAAACAAGGTGAGAGGACACAAAATAAATAATATAATGCTGAACATCATAAAGGAACAGTGGAATTTTGGAGTGCATGCCCAAAGATCCCTTATGGTAGTAGGACAGGTAGATAAGGTGATCTAAGACATGGAGTATAAGAGGATTACAGTTATGGTGTAACTGTATAATAAATACTGGTTAGACCACAACTGGAGTTTTGGTCCTGCATTTACAGAAAGAATGTAATTACACAAGACACGGGCATGGTGGAGATTTATGAGAAGGTTGGCAGGACTGGAGAATATTAGGTATGAGGAAATATTGGATAGGCTGGGGTTACTTCTTTTGGAACAGAAGAGACAGCAGGATACAATAACGATGTGTTCAATTGAGTAAGAAGGACATATCTCCATTTGCTGAGAGGTTATGGAAATATAGAAACATAATAATTAAAATCGGGAGGAAGCCATTTGGCCCCTCAAGCCTGCTCCAACATTTGATAAGATCAAATCAGGTTTGATTTTAGTCTTTGCTTTCCTATCTACCCTTGTCTGTCAAGAAGCTCTCTTAGCTCAGACTTAAAAAATATTCAATGACCCTGCCTCCATCACTCTCCAGGGAAGAGATTTCCACAAATTTATTACAGTCAGACGGAAAAAAATGTTTATCTCTGCCTTAAATAGAGACTCTTAATTTTTAAACTGTGTCTCTTGTTCTAGTTCTCTCCCACAAGGGGAAACATTCTCTCAACATCCATTGTGTCAAGTCCCCTCTGGGGACGATATACGTTTCAATAAGATTACCTCTCATTCTTCTAAACTCTAATAGCCACAGACCCAGCCTTTCTAACTTCTCCTTATAAGATAACCCCATCATCCCTGGACATTTAAGTGAATCTACTCTGAACTGCTTCTAATGCAATTATGTCCTTACATAAGGAGACCGAAACTGTACACAGCAATCCTGATGTGGTCTCACTAACCCCTGTATAGGTGCAGTTAAACTTCCTGACTTTTTTCATTCCATTCACCTTGCAATAAATGACAACGTTCCATTTGCCTTCCTAATCATTCACAGTACCAGTATATTAACTTTGTGATTCATGAACCAGGACACCCAGATTCCTCTGTACCTCAGAGTTCTACAATCTCTTGCCACTTAGATAATATGCTTTTTTTTATTCTTCCTGCTAAAATGCACGATTTCCCAATTTGCCACATTATACTCCATTTATCACAGCTTTGCCCACCTATACATGTATATATATTTGTAACTGTCTTGTGAAAGAACAACCTACTTTCCTACGTATCTTTGTGTCATCAGCAAATTTGACAACGATACCTCCCTTCCTTTCATCCAAGTCATTTATATAAATTGTAAACAGTTGACATCCTAGCACCAATCCACGTGGCGCACTATTCATTATATTTTGCCAGCCTGAAAAAGATCCATTTAAACCTAATGTCTGCTTCCTGTTAGCCAGCCAATCTTCTATCCATGCTAATATTCTATCCCCTACACTGTGAACTTTTATTTTCAACAATTACCTTTGATGTGGCACCTTATCAGCTTATTTAGCAGAGGGATTAGTGGAGAGTCATCAAAAATTATTCATTCAGAGGGTGATGGCAACTGGAACTCATTGACTGAAAGGGCAGTAGAAGCAGAAACTTTCATGTTCAAAAAATACTTAGATATGCACTTGAGTTGCTGTAACCTACAGTACTAAAGACCATGAGCTGCAAAATGAGATTATGCTAGTAAACAAGATAGCTCTTTTAGGATATGTTAGAGTTTGTTCTAAAGAATGCAATAGCAGATCATTTAGAAATATATATTATGATGAAGCAGAATCAGCATGG